GTTGAAAAAAAAAATAAAAAAAAAAAACACCCTCCTCGCACCTGAAGTTTCACCAGCCCAGGGCAGGAAGAGGGCCTGGGTGGGGGGAGGGTTCCTGCAGACGAAACACAGCAGTTCACTGCTGGGCTCGGCCAGAGGCAGGACGGGGCCTCTCCTCGTGGCCTCTCTCTCTCTCTGGAGTGGCCTCTCTCTGGAGGTTGCTCAGAAGGGGTTGGGCAGGGGCAGGGGCGCCTGGGTGGCTCAGTCGGTTGAGCGTCTGACTTCTGTCTTTGCTACCTCTGTACCTTTTGCACTACAGGCCAGAAAGCTAAAACCTACATTTCCCAGACTCCCTTGCAGCTAGGGTTTGGATAGAATCTAGGTTCAACCAATCAGAAGCATTTGCACGAGACTGACTCAGAGCTGGGTTAGAGGTGAACAATGACAAGGCTCCAGGCATTGTTTTGCGGGTGCAGAGTGTGGCGGAAGGGCACAGGGCACGGCTCTTGGAAACTGCAGGCTTAGCAGCACCTTCTTGATTACATCAGGGGCAGCAGCTTTCACGGTGGCCCCGTTTCACGGTGCAGTTCGGGGAGGCTCAGCCTTCGGTCTTTCTTCAGCTTTCCCAAAGATTCCGAGCTAGCCGTGCCCTAAATAATCCCTTTCTGTTTTCACTAGCTAAATGGGCTCTGTTATCTGCAATTAAGAACAGGGGGTCAGCATGAGGCCACCAGAAAAGCCTGCGACCTTGGCTGTAACTCACGTCATTTTCCAGTCACACAACAGTAAGTGAGGTGTGGCATCTTACCACGGAGATCACTGTTTGCAACCAGAGCCAGGGCCACTAGGTCCTCTGGAATCCACTGGGTCACCTGAAGCCGTGGTCTCAGGCTGCTGCTAAGAAAAGCTCCAGATTCAAATGGTGCAGGGGTTATTTCGGGGGAGACTTAGCCCAGAGCTCTCAGGGGGTTGGGGGTCTTACAGACACATCGTGGACATGCCTCTAAACCCAGCTGTGTGACTTTGGTAAATCGCTTCCCCTCTCTGGGCCTCTTCTTTCTCCTCCTGAAAACAATCGGTTTAAACTAGGTGGTAGCCAAGGCCCCAGCCAGCACGACAATATGATCCCAAGTCTCCCTCAGTGTTTCCCACTCGCTAACCAAGCCAGAGTGAGACACAGTTTGTGGATGAATGATCCACCGACACGAGGAAGAAGCTCGCGAAGATCAGCCAGCCCCTCCGCCGCCTCCATGAGGCCATCTCTGCCTTACCTCTGCCAGCCTCCACTCGGTCTCCTGCTGTCCTGAACCCCCAGCCTCACCCATCCAGGGAACCAGGCAGTGCCGTGACTCCAAATGGTCTCGCGCCTCGTGTCTGGTGGCTATTAGGTGGACAGGCCTTCAGAACGGGGTCACGTCCTTTCTCTGCCACCCCCCCGCCCCCCGGCCCAAGCCACCCTAGGCCCATCGCTTTTGTGAGCCTTAGTTTCCTCATCTGTAAAATCCACACACGAGAAAGGGGCAGTGCACGTGTGACAGGGCTGAGGTAAGATAGCGATGAGAATTTCACGGAAAGCCCCGGCACAGTAGCTGGCACGCAGCAAGAGCCCAAGAAATGTTTGTTCCGTTCTTTCTCCTTTCTCCTGCCATCAAAGGACAGGAGTGGCCAGAGAGTCAGCGACTTGCTTCTGGACCTCAGCTGGCTGATGGCAGAGCTGAGTCAGGCACGACGAACCTCAGGAAGCTTCTCCGCCATCTGGACCGGCTGGAGTCCTCCTTCCGCTGCTACTGGTAAACCTCTCCCCTGCCACCCTGCGCATAAAGCCCATGACGTGTTCTGCCCGGACATGGGACTGTCCCTGATCACCCAATTCTGCGGCAGACTCCGTGCCGAAGCTATATGTGTTTCGGATGCTTTAATATCCGGGGCCTTGTTGACCCTGGGGCTAGCCAATCCCTCCAGACGGTAACCTCCCGTGAGCGCACGTTTCCTACGCAAACAACCCAATCCAGAGCTCATAACCCACCACCACCACTCCTCTCACATTCAGGGCCTCTTTCCCCCTGCCCTTATCATCCCAGGACCAGGTACCACACAGCTAAGGACAGCCCTTAGGCCCCAGAGTCCACCAATCCCTGTGCCCCTGACTCAGCTGTTTCTTCCCCAGAAACCCCTGTGAAGGCTCTTGCCCACTTTCCCCTCTCACCCTCTCTGCCTCCTGACCAGCCCTGGTGGTCCCCTATGTGGCCTTTACGGTGCGACGTGCCTCCTGTGTCTACGGATCTGTGAGTATAAAGTCTTCCTCCTTCGTGGCATTGACTCCCACTTCCGTGGAGTCTTGCCATACGTGACGATACCGAACCCCAGCTACCCCGAAAACACCCCACGTGATGCTTCAGCCAAGTTGTCAAAAGCGCCCCACACCGGGGTCTACAGCCCCAGGTGTCCTGTCTGAAGACGGAGCCAATGGCCCTGTTCCTGTCTCCATCCTACCCGGCTTTGCTGTTTTGAGCTGCACTGCTTCATCTCCGTCTCTAAAGCTAACACTCGAGGAAGCAAGATCATAACAACCGCTGCCGAGAGCCCCCCCTCCGGACTCCGCTTCTGACGGGACACCCAAGGACTGCGTTCTGGAAAAAGCATGGTAATCCCTGTCTGGCGGGGACACAGACTTTGATGCGGACGTCACAAGTGAGGCTTCCGTCTCCTTGTGTAATGACGTGGGAAGACGCTCCCAGGATGATGCTGAACGGGAAACACAAGCTACAGCACTGTGATCTCCCGAAAGAACGGTATATACATCTGTGAGTGGACAGGCCGCAGGGAAGGGCCCTACCAAAGCACTGATGGGCGGCTTCTTTGAATAATGGGATTGTGAATGACTGTTAAAACACTTCTCTGTACTTTTGTAAGTTTTCTGTAATGGGGTTATGACTCTTTCGCTATTGGAAAGCACTAATAGATGCCCCTTTATTTAAGTCCTAGATCTCCCACGAAACAGTTCGAGCTTCCCGTCAAACTGCCAGTAGTCTGAGAGAAGCAGTCTCTCCAACTCTCTGGACTCCACTGGCCTCTCAGGGTGAGTCAGTCGCTGTCTCTTTGTCCAATTCTCGAAAGCCGATCTCTGCCCGGCGCAGAGGGAGGGGCCCCGGCATCGCATTCGGCACCTCACGGGTATGAATAGTCACGGCTGCTCAGACCAGCTCATCTCAGATGCCACTTGGCTTCCGGCAGTCAAGTCTGGGGCGGGCGCCAAGCTGCCTCCATCCTGCCCCCTCCTCTGTGCCCTCAGGGACCATGGGGGGTGGGGGGGGAAGGGCCAGGCAGCCCAGGCTGCCCAGCCAGCAGGTGATGGCCTCTGCTAAGGGAGAAGACAAACTCAGAGGTGACCACGGCAGTCCTGCGTGTTAGTTTCCATCCTCCTACCCAGACGCGGGCTCCAGTTCTGCAGGCTGAGGAGGCCTCTTGTCAGCGTGGCCGGGGGCCCTCATGCATCCCTGCCAGCCTTTGTCCATGAGCCTGCCCCTCATAGGGCCCTCCTGTTGGTCTGAACCCTCTCAGGAGCTTCATCAGGACCATGGGGTCTTTTTTTTTTTTTTTTCAAGCTTATTTATTTATTTTGAGAGTGAGACAGCACAAGTAGGGATGGGGCAGAGAGAGAGACAGAGACACAGAGAGACACAGAGAGAGAGAGAATCCCAAGCAGACTCTGCACCACCAGCACAGAGCCTGATGTGGGGCTCAAACTCACAAACCACGAGATCATGACCTAAGCCGAAGACGGATGCTTAACCGACTGAGCCACGCAGGCACCCTAGACTGTGGGGTCTTTCTTGGAGGTCCCAGAACTTGAGCCCCAGCAAGCACCTGGCTGGAACAAGATAAGGTGCATGCCTTCAGATTTCTATCTAACACTGCCCCTCGTCCCCGGGTGCTGATGGTATTCAAGAGGACAGGAGCCCAAGGAGGTCTCTATGTCCTTCAAGAGCCTCCACCAGCCCAGAGCAGGGAAGCGGCCCCAGCTCAGCAATCTGAACCCCTGCACTCTTCTCAAACCTGGTACAGAGTTTCAGAGGACCACAGAGTGGTTTATGTATTCCACGCTGGGTAGGAATACAGTGAGGGTATGGCACCTCTGTGCAAATTAGGAAAAAGTACCTCTTTCTCCAGATGAATTAAGCCACATGCCAGTCACATGATTTATCAAGTGAGAGTGAGCTGGATGTCAACCCTGCCTGACCCCTTAGCTGGGTTCTTTGTGCAGTGCCCATCCTGCACAACTGTATGTGGCAGTCTGAGACTAGACTCTTTAACTTTGTCTTGTTTAATTCTCCCGACAGCCCTACGAGGACAGGCATTGTTTCCCCACTTTTATACCCAAGATTCAGACTGTAAGTGGAAAAGCAACTTGCCCAAAGTCACTCAGCTCATAAATGGGGGTGCTGGAAAGGGGACCTCAGGCTTTCAGGAGCCCAGAACCTATGTTCTTCACTGACTGCAGTGTACTCCCTCTCCCTGATTCTGACAAGCCACGGTTATGGGGGGGTGGGGGGGATTTCTCGGCGAGCAACCCCGTCCCCTTCAGTGAGCTCCGTGCTATTTCGGGGCCAGAACAGCTGCCATCTCGAGACAGCGCGCTACCCGTCAGAGCAAACGCACAGAAACCAGAGTCTGGAAACTGCAGCCTGACAATTCAGAGGACTGCGGCGTCTTCTCAAATAGGTGCAGAGAGAACCAAGAAGAGCTGGGCTGTCAACTGCAGGTCACAGCTGCCCAGAGGAGACACTCCCCCCTCCCCGGGTGGCAGAGAGACCTGACTCGGCCCCCTGGCTGGACGCTGGCTCTCCCTGGGCCACCATTTCCTCATTTATCCGTGGGAATCTGCAGAGGGGGTTGAAGGATCAGAACGGAGAGCTAAGAAAGCCTGATGTTCTGAATACAACCCTCGATAGTCCCGTGATCCATCCACTGTCGGCGCGAGCTTCCCTGGAGGGTCGTTCCTGGCATGCGGTGGGGGCTGGGGGGTCAGGGGCAAAAGCCTGTTGCCACTCCTCCTTTCCACCCCCCCACCCCCGCCCTGTGGGTCTGCAGGGCCCCACACCCAGTGTGCCGACAGTCCACGCAAGAGTGCACGCGCGGGAGCCTTACTTTCTGCGCTGCACCAGGGAGCCCTGGAAAGCTCCCCTCTAAAATCCGGCCCAATCACCCGGCACACCTCCACGTGTCTAAACGAGCATGGTCGGCCTTCCACCCGGACACCGCCCTACTGCCCCTCTGCGCCTCACCACCATGCCCCGGGGGCCCAAGCTAAACGCTGAGACCTACTGGCCTCCTCGTACTTCCCCTCCCCTCCCCACCCCAGCTGGCCACCTCTGCTCCCTTCGGGGTCCTTCTCTCCCTCCCGGCACCAGGGGCGTGAATCGGTCCTCTTTTCCCACTGGAGGGTTGTCTCTGTCGAGAACGCTCTTTCCTCACCGTGTCTTCTGTGCTGCTACCTGCTTGCACATCAGAGGCCAGCTTCCTGGCAGCCTTCTGTGTTCTGCCTCGAACGTGCCTACAGCCCCCGGCACGCTCCCCAGCTCAGCCCTTAGTAAACTGGACTTTGTGCAGCTCCCCTCGACGGATGGCTCTTCTCCTCTTTCACTCACCGAAGATTTACTGATCCATTGCTACACGCCAGGCACAGTTTCAGGCCAGGATGCACTGACGACCAAGCCAGATACAATCCCCGCCCCCCGCCCTCCTGGACTTCCACGAGAGGAGACAAATGAAATATTAATGCAACATAGTGCCAAGTAGTAATGAGCTCTATAAAAGTAAAACAGGACAGGGGGCTGGAGGGTCCCTGGAAGGCTGGTAGGAGGTCAAGGAAGGCCTCTCTGAACAAACAGAAATGGAGCCCTCAGCAGGAGCGCAGGAAGAGCATTGCAGACAGGGAAGGGCGAATAAACACAAATACCCCGAGGATGGAAAAAGCCAGCGGGCTGCAGGGACAGGGCAGTGGGGGTGGTGGGGTGGACAGGCAGAGGACATGAGGCCGGAGAGGCGAGCGGCACCAGGTCAGGCTGGGCCTGTGGGCCCCTCAATACAGCCGGGCGTTGAAGCAGAGGAATCGCACGGTCTGATGGAAAAGTTCCCTCTGGCCGCTGCAGGGAGGACGGACTGTAAAGCGACAGACAGACGGGACTGTTGCCGCCTGAGAAGAGGGGGATTGCACAGAGTGGCAGCTAAGACGTGGGAGAAGGCGACAGAGCAGGAAATGGGTTAAGGATAAGCTGATGACAAGATCTACGCAGCGACAAAGAAAGAGAGAAATCAACGGTAACTCCTAGGAGTTTCGCTTGGACAACTGGTTGCATCACAGAGCCATTTCGAGAGGAGGGAACGATGAAGATAAACAGCGTGGGCGGAAGTCAGAAGCCCCCGGGCCACGGTAAGGCTGCTGGGACTCTCAGACATTCGGGAGGACATCGTAAGTAGGCAGTCAGCAGTGCAGTGCAGAGGCCAGGGTTAGAGATACATGTTCCAGAGTCAAGGCACAAAGGACGAAGTGAGATCTCAGAGGAGGGCAGAGCACAGAGGGGCGCGTGCAGTCAGCTCCGACATTCAGATGGTGGCAGGGGAGAAGGGGCCACGGAAGGAGACTGAGAAGGGAAGTCTGTGGGAACAAGGAAAACCCAGAACACCCAATGCCACAGAAGTCAAGAGCAGAGAACATTTCCAGGACAGAAGGGTCGGCTCTGTCCAGAGCTAATGGAGGCCAAGGAAGAGGAGGATGGATGAGGTCTTGCTGCCCTAGCAACCAGACGGTCATCAGTGACCTTGACCGGCGCAGATTCAGGGGAGCCGGGAGGCAGACGCCCCACTGGCATGGCTTGAGGTGAGGACGGAAGTGGGAGGTGCTGGACACGGTCACCGCGGCAGTCTGCGTGACGAGCAGAGTGAGTGCCACGGGCTGAAGGTGTGTGCCCCCCCCCCAAACTCACGTGCTGAAACCTAACCCCCCAATGTGATGGCATTAGGAGGCGGGGTCACTGGAGGGCCATTAGGTCATGAGGGCGCAGCTCTCACACATGGCATCAGTGCCTTTATAAAAGGGACCCTACAGAGCTCTCTCACCCTCTTCCCACCAGGCGAGGGCACAGCACGAAGATGACGGTGTGCAAGGCAGGGTGGGCTCGCAACTGACCCTGAACTGTGCTCTCCTCCTGATCTCAAACAACCAGCCTGCAGAACTGGGAGGGACAGTCAGTTGCGTGTGAGGGACCCGCCAGAGGAAGAAGGAAGAGACCCGAGTGCTCTGTAGGAGCCCCGGTGGAGGGTGAGGGGGGGAAGGTTTACATCTGTACAAGGAGGCCTGCGCGGGAGGACAGCCTCTGTGAGCCCCATCGCCCCATCACCCCCGCCCCAGCACAGTCTTTAAGGCCATCAACCTAGCAGGTGCCGGCCGTGTGCATGGCTACGCGGAGTGCGAAACTGGGACGGCCTCGGGCGCCTTCCTATCCGGGAGCCCCCTAAACTGCTGATCACGGGTGCATGCTTGGTCCTCCAGCCTGACCCCACTCCCCTTTTACTTGGCATTCTGGGAGCAGACCTGGGGGAGGCCCTGGCAGGCACCTTCGATCATCTGATCTGGACACCAAGGCTCAGAGAGAAAGTCCTCATACTCAGCCATGAGTCAGGATGAAGCTGGGGCCCAGATCTACCCAGAAGGTCCTCTCGGGGGACCCCACCACTAGTGCCTGAACAAGGTGACAGTTCAACGGATGAGGGAACTGGGGCACAGACCCATGCACCCAAGTGGTCACTTGCCCAGGAGACTCCATTCAGACTCAACCAAGGGCCACAAAGCTCGAGGGCCAGGGGGACTTTACCACACGGGACACCACCACTTGATGAGTCCCAGGACGCCAACGACCTGGCCTCCACAGACAGCCTCCTGCCTGTTGTCCACCAGAGGTCCACGTCAGGTACGTGGGAGGAGATGCGAAAGCTGCACCATCTTTGTTTTGCTCTTCCAGCACCCAGCCCAGAACATTCTGCTAAACCTGATCCCCCAAATTCTTCCCAGCTGGATAGAGCCTGAGAAAACTCCGGCCGTCTTTTTATTTATTTTTTTGTCCTTTCTCACAGCCTTAAAAATTGACCGGAAAGGCTGATGCTAAACCAGACTGCACTCACGAGTCAGGTGTGTAGGGCGCAGTGCACGAACATTCTTTCCCTCGGGCTAATCTTAAATTTTTTTTTTTTTAATGTTTATTTATTTTTGAGACAGAGAGAGAGAGAGAGCATGAACAGGGGAGGGTCAGAGAAAAGAGGGAGACACAGAATCTGAAACAGGTTCCGGGCTCTGAGCTGTCAGCACAGAGCCCGATGCGGGGCTCGAACCCACGGATGGCGAGATCATGACCTGAGCCGAAGTCGGACGCTTAACCGACTGAGCCACCCAGGCGCCCCTCCCTCGGGCTAATCTTGCCCCCAAGGGCTCCTCTTTGAAATGTGGAGCCTCCAGGAGCAGGTAGGAGGAAGCATTTGTCAGGGGTAACAGTCAAGAAAGCACTAACCACAAAGGGGGTGGGGGAAAGACACAGAGGATAAAAGGCGGCAAAGAGATGGCGGGGAGGGGGGCGGTTGAGAGACCCTAGAGAGGTACCCGAACACCCGACCCTACCCGGGTTGACCTGTCCACAGTCCAGAAAGAACAATCCCTCCGTCTAGCACGGGCTGTCAGTCCGGGGAGTCTGGAGTCACACGGCACATGGTGTGACCAGCTCCATCCCCCATCACTTGCAGGGCCTCGGTTTCCTCACCTGTAAAATGAGGGCAATGACAGTACCCACCTCAAACAAGGGAGAGGGGGATGAAATGCAGGATGGGGGGCAGGCGCCCGGCACAGCGTCGGGCACCCCGTCAGGCCCCAGAGCACTTGCCCGTGGGCATCGCCTGTCAGGATCCAAGCCCGATTCTGCCCCCCACGGAAGCACCTCTGACTTCCACACTGAGCTCTTGGCACACCCACCATCCGTGCCACGCAAATGTAGTACCTGATTACACACTGTCTTGAAACAATTGGGGAATAGCCGAATACGGCATAACACAATGCAAAATTGAATGTCAGCTCTGAAAAATGACAACCCCAAACCCTGGACTGCAGAGGCCGTGCTGGACACGCACACAGACCTCACCCCAGAGCCAAGGGCTCTGGCCCAGGCCCTGGGCACTCAGCTGGCTCGCTCTTCTGCGGAACAGAGTCTCTCGTCACGTCAGTTTGGGGGCTTTTGCTCTTTCGTCCCGTGGCTGGTGCTACCCTCCCCCCCCCCCACCACCACTTGGGAGGTCCCCTGCACCCCAACCTGGAAGCCCAGCAGCACAGGAAGAATGCTGTCCCAGGAACGGGCAGCTTGGATGGGCAGTGGCCTGGGGCCAGCTCTGCTCTAGACATCAGAGGGAAAAGTTCCTGGAATCGTCTTTGACACCGGCTCTTGCCGTATCACCCAGACCAGGAGGGCCAGGGCAGTGCAGACTCTGGGAGATGGGCGGATGAGGCCGGCCAGTCAGGGCACCTGTGGGCTGTGTCTGAAGCTGGAGGGTCTGGAGGGCCCTGGAGATGCACGCACCGTTCTTGGGATTTGGGGGA